GTCCCATGGAGCGGAATACGCGGAAGCGGAATCAGCGGATCGCCAATCACAAGACCGTTTCGACGGAATTTTTGAAAGGGCTCTATCAGAATAATCTTGCGATTGGCGATCCGCTGATTCCGCTTCCGCGTATTTCGCTCCATGGGACGTCGCCCTCAGGGTGCTTTCACATGGAGCGTAAGTTGCGTAGCGTAACCTGCGTATCGCCAATCACAGGACTAGTTCAACGGAATTATTGAAACGGTTCTATCAGCATGATCCTGTGATTGGTGATACACAGGTTACGCTACGCAATTTACGCTCCATGTGAAAGCACCCTCACTTTCCATTCCTTTCGAATTTTCAGAACCGGAAAAAGGAAAACAAAACGGACGTTGAGCCGAGACTAGAGTTAACCTGCATCGCTAGAAATCTAGAAATGGACGGAAGTTCGCAACTGGGTAATTCAAAGGCACTCATTACTTTAATAATAAAAAAGCATACATATATCTATGTAACAAGAAGAAAACTGAGCGTGTGCGAAAGAGGAGAAAATAAAGGGAAAGTAGGGAGAAGAGAATAATGCGTCCGGAAGGGGACGGACGTTTCTTATCGAATGGTGGAGAAACGTGGGAGAGCCCTCGAGCCGCTCGCTCGCGCTTCAACGCGCCCATGTGACATTTACGTCGCTACGTATCTGACACATTTATTATACGTGGAACGTGTGCGCCCCAGAGATAATATATATATCTATATACACACACATACACGCACGCGCGGACGTGAATATATATGCGTATACGTGGTGGTCACGTCACAAGTGAATTGACAGTAATTAAATCGCGATAAGGTGCGAAGGTTGGAAAAGCTCGCGAGGCCTCGTGTTAGAACTGTCTATTTTACTTTCACTCGGCGCGATGGTGTAGGAAGAGAAAACAAACTCAGTACGTACTGTGATCTCCGGCTGGACGCGTGCACGTATCGAAATTAAAAGATCTTAAAGTCTCGAGAAGGTAATTCGTCGGCGGCGAGACGCCGTTTCGCGAACGCTCGCTCGCTCGCTCGCGAGAGAGCTCGGTTATGTAAATGAGAATCTTCGGGGGATCGCAATTAACGTGTCTCCGTTTCGGGACACGTCGTCGCCTCTCGATTACAAAAACCGAGCGGACGGTTACGTCGGGTTCAGCGAGTGTCTGGCACCGGGCCTGTAATTCCCGTCGTCAGGGGCTCGAATTATCGTGACAATCGCGCGACTAATTTCCGCAATGGAGCGCGATAATTGGAGTCTTTGGTAACAGCAATATGGTTAGGTGCTCTCGCGGCGTGGTGCACAATTTGCGGGCACCAAGTACGTTGACTCGTCGAAGTGTATGACGAAGCGACCGACGATTGGCGAATCGGCTCTTATTACTTGCAAAATCGCGTGTGTCTCGTGGCGCCCCTTGTATCGCCGATGCTCCGCAACGCGTGCGGGTCCTCGTGGTTTAAATTGACCCTCCGTTCAGCTTGTGAGGGCACGTAACCTCAGGGTTTCGTGATCTTTCGGAGAGTTGTCCGCGTTCTAGCTTAGATCCTAGTCTCTGCTTTTGAATATTAATGAAAACTCACATTCGTAATTTTTATCTTGCAGAGTAAGTATTAACTAAGGAATATGTAGTAAGTATTTGAACGACGTTACGCTTGTTTGTCGTGTAGACTGTAAGATAGCGGCTGCATGGTGTCGTAGACCGCGAGACTTGGATCTACAGTGGAGTCGGTGGTGCCCACACAGCACAGAAAGATTGCAGAAATGTTACGTTGCAATATTGCAGCAACGTTGAAATGTCCGCCCTCGGAGAGATTGCAGTGCAACATAAGGCTTGTTTTCTATTGCTGCACTGGTGAACTAGTGCAGTAAGCTAGAATGAGAAAAAATATACTTGTCCTACTCTAAAGGCTGGTTTATGCAAGGGCATACCCGTTAACTTATGTCGGAATCGGTAAAAATTAACTAATTACAGTCAATTATTCTCTTCACTTTTAACGGTGATTGGACAATTTTTACCGATTCCGGCATAAGTTAACGGTTACGGCCTTGCATAAACCAGCCTTAACTTATTGCACTAGTTCACCAGTGCAGCAACAGAAAACAAGCCTATTATAGCAATGTTGCGGTGCAATATTTTTGGAATAATTTGTCATTGTACATAAGCAGAGAATTTACTAATTACGTATGCATCCAGGCCTTTTTCAATACACAGCAAGCTATTGCGAAGCAACCTAAGGAGATTATGTCGCTTCGCAATAGATGGAGATTGTGAGCAGCACCGCACTGATCAAGTACTTAATAATTCGCGCGTTATTGGTATTGACGAAAATAACATTATAAAATTCTCGTAGTTAGAAAAATTTTTTAAATAGAAAATATAGTATTTCCATTATTTTTGAAACACTGCTGCAATATTGCTATCGAAAGTTTGCACTTTTATATACCTGCAATGTCTCTGCAAGATTGCAACGTTTCTGCAATGTAACTGCAACCATCTGTGCTGTATGGGTGAGAACTACACGTCGGTCCTCTTTTCTTCCACCGCAGAAAGGAAAGAGATCAACATACAGTTGCGACTTCTGACTAACAACTCATTTCCGAGTCTCTCCGCTTTTGATTGAAGTCACCGAGGTCATTTCTGGCCAAGTCGCTGAATATTTATCAGCAACGAAGGCGAACGATAGCTCGTCTAAAGAGGAACGGGGTTAACTCTAGTAATCGGACTACGGCTGATGGCAGAGGACAATCCGTAAGCGCTGAAGACTGTAAAGTAAGGCAGAGAAAACCTTGGTGAAAGTCTCTTGTATAACACTTGAGTTTTTCTCTTGCCTTACGTCTACGACTTCAGACAGTCTTAGACTTACTCTCCGCTATCAGCCTATGTTTACGGCGTTACGATTTGACCTTTGGCCCTGTAGCAGCTCGTCCATATAGAACATGTTTTTTTTCTTAACGATAACGTCAGCTCCATACTTTGCGCGCGATCGTGCTATGTTTATCACAGTAACATTAGAGTTGAAGTAATGGAGAAGACCGGTGAACTCGAGCGACACAATTCTATGTATACAATTATAGATGTTGACGCCAATTCTAATGAGATTGAAGTAAATTGTTACGGAATATTGTTGCCCACCGCGCGATGCAAGAGAAGAAGTTTGTTTCATTCCTTGCTTACAGATTAACTACCTGGAGGGTACCATGTTGGGTAATTCTACTGCCATTCAACGTCCGAAGGATCAAGCTTCCACTAATGGAGCCCAAAGCGGCGCTGGAAGAAAGATCTCCGCTCCAGCGATGGAGCGCAATTCGACCTATACGCGCAACGCGTCAGGCTTGGACTCGGATCACCTGACGCTCTGGCAGCATCCAATTACGACGTTGCGTTATTTCTTTAGCGAAGTGTTCATAAATGTGCTCAGTTTAGCGAAGAAAACGTTGCTCTACAAACGAACTGTGTGCGCTATGATTTCAATTCTAGTACTGTTTCTTCTGGCAGGCAGAATCTCTGGTCCCCAACAAGAGGTATGCTGGACCACTTCTGTGCTAATAGAAGCTTTAAGTTGCAGGCGATTGTAAATGACAGATTTGTTTTGGAAAATTGAGCCTTGAGGAAAACTATTTCAGTTTGTAGCTTATTGTTACTTACAAAGCATGCAACAGTTTTCAATTTTTACTAAGAAATTTGGCATTCGTGTGCAACAGATGTCTACGTTAAGTTAATTTCGCACAGACCATCCGATTGCTTAGCTCAATGTAATTTCTTCGCTTTGTTTCCAGACTTTTAAATTGTGGGAAGCCAAAATTATATGGTCGTTATATTGGGTAGGATTAGGCGTGTTATCAAGTGTAGGCCTCGGCACGGGCCTGCACACCTTTGTATTATACTTAGGGCCGCACATAGCGGCTGTCACTATGGCAGCGTACGAATGTGGCGGTCTCAACTTCCCCGAACCACCGTACCCCGACCAAATAATATGCCCGACGAAGATCGATCCGCTGTGGACAGTGGGTATATTAAACATTATGAAGAAAGTGCGCGTGGAGGCTATGCTGTGGGGAGCCGGCACTGCGCTCGGCGAGTTACCGCCGTATTTCATGGCCCGTGCGGCGAGGATAAGCGGGAAGCACAGTAAGAATGAGAATTTCGATCAAGAAGATCTGAAGGAGTTGGAAGCTCTGGAAGCGCTAGAAAACGGGGAAAACGTATCGTTTGTAATGCGCATCAAATTAAGTATGAAGCGATTCGTTGAGAAAGCTGGATTCTGGGGCATATTAGCTTGCGCATCGGTACGTAAACTTTCTTCTCTTCTTTTCTTTTTCATTATGTAAGAGATTCTGTAAGCAGCTCCTTGAATCGTGTATCTTTTATTGGGTGTACTGCAATAAAATCTTACAGATTCCAAATCCACTGTTCGACCTGGCTGGTCTGACGTGTGGCCACTATCTCATTCCATTCTGGACGTTCTTCGGCGCAACCCTCGTAGGAAAGGCTGTTATCAAGATGCACATACAGCAATTAGCAGTGATCATAGCGTTCAATGAAGAACTTTTAGATAAATTTATTAGCTTGTTAGCAATAGTGCCGTTTGTTGGCACAAAATTCCAAGAACCATTGAAGAAATATTTCATTGCACAGAAGCAAAAGCTGCACGACAAGTCCTCTATGGTGAGTTATCAGTTTTACAAGTTGCAAGCGCAACGTGGCGCTTACCGAGCTCTTTCGAAAATAAACGATATTTTTTGCAGGAAGGGGCAACTACAATATCATGGATGTTCGACAAATTTGTAACATTGATGGTTTGTTATTTCCTAGTGACAATTGTTCACGCATTAGCGCGAAATCATCACCGTAGACGAACTAAGCCGTCGATCGATTAAAACCTATGAAAAACATAGGATAGTTAGAAATATGAAATTAGTTCCACTGCAACAATATTTATACAGATGTATAATTTATTTTTCACGGGACAAAAAAAAACAAATAGTGCGAGGAGCGTGTTAAAGTTTCACACAATTTCAGTGTTGCGACAAAAACATTTTGCACAACGGTGCAACGGTTAAGTAACTTTTTCTCTTCTCTTATTCCAAACGTATGTTCATATTGCAATATTTCGTAAGAGTATCTGTTGCAAGGCTCTCCTGTTATATACATGTCAACATGTGCGTTTGCGCGCGCGTATGAGTGCATGTGCGTGCGTGTGTGTGTATGTATATAGACACCGATCTTTTATAAGCAAGATTTATTGTACAGTGCATGAAACAAATATGTAAGCGATAATCCGCAACTTTCCTGCACCATCGATCCATAATCAAGCTTCTGCGTATTACATCGGTAGCGAGGATTGGACTAAGACATTTGCGAGTAATGAGAAAAAAATCCTGTAATCAATAAAACTAGTATCTAGCCAAATTTCTATAAGTTTTGTATGCGCGTTTTGAGCACACACAGGAGTGAATCTCAAATCAACCCATAATCTCTCGCATTAACGAGACATGTAATAAATGACTGATACACGAAACGAATAAAAAGCGTTAATACAATTAAGAATAAAGTTATAGTACGCTGTTACGAAATGTTTTACGAAACGGAAAATTCTTTTACGACGTTCAACGTGAAATACTAGAAGAAAATAGTTTGTAGACAATATGACTTATTTCGTTAATTCTGAATTTTTCTACTTTTTGTGCGTTTTTTAGTTTAAATTCTTTCATGTAACTTGCGCACTGGGGATGTGTTCGAAAATGGATTTAGTTACTGCCAGTGAAAACGGTATAGTTGGTAGCAATGAAAATTACTGGTGCTGCGTTTTTCGCACGCCAGTAAAGTCAGTAAGGCTGGGAAATTGACCAATCACAGTTCATTATTCGACTTACGACATCCAATGTAGACCCAGCCTTACTGACTTTACTGGCGTGCGAAAAACGCAGCACCAGTAATTTTCATTGCTACCAACTATACTGTTTTCACTGGCAGTAACTA